AAAATCAAGGTAGTGTGGGAGAAAATATGTTCAGACACACTCTAAGAAATTAAAAATACAGTTGAAGACATCCAGTGTTGGGCTTGCTGTCTTTTCTTCTCATTCTTGCGCTATTCCCAGAATGTATAAATATAAACTAAATATTTGCCGTTACCTTTTTGTTGATTAAGAATAAATGGGAAACCAGAAAACAAGCCCGCTTGAAATGAACTCAAGGGGTAAGTCTTATGTATTGAGTATGGTTTAAGTCCATATTCTCTTACTCCTTTATTTAGTCTGTTAGCCTGGGTATAAAGACTCCTCTGAAGAGTTAGTCTAATAGCAATCCCTTGAAACCACAGAAAGCCTTGTTTGCCTTTACAATGCAAATGTTTAAAAAAGAATGCAGACATCTCTGCCAAATCCCACCGATCCACTACTGCTGGGCTCTCCAGCGTCAGTACGTTCAATATCAACACAGCGTTGTGTTGCTCTCCAAGTGCAGCCCTTACAAAATGAAGAAGAGCAGCATCATAGCTTCACCACTGGCTTTGTAACGTTTTGCTGTTTAATTAAGGTTTTTTGGATCTGCAAACAGCTTTAGAGAAAAAGAATGCAAGGCTTGATTATAGATTCACGATGTCTTTAATTAAAAATCCCATGCAAGCTTCTGTATATTTGCTCTGTGACTTCAGGTTATTGTTTACTGCAGTAAAATTGTGAATGTTAACGCCAGCAAACTTGAATTCCACATGAACTATTTTTTAAGGGTTCTGTAGGCCTGGAACATGTAAGCTTGTTAAACTTCAGTCAAGTAAACATTAATAATCTTAGTTTTGCCCTCAACTTTGTAGTAAACTGTAAGATAAGTTTTCAAAGGCTTAAGAAGCAATTAAATGGCTGGTTCTTAGAGAAATCAGTGCTAATTAAGTCCTTTGAAGAATTTGCTCTAGGTCCTGGAAAAAAATGGATTGACCAGTAATATCTCAGGGTCAGTTCAGCTGAGCGCCAGGCACAGGTAGTTATCAGAGACTCAGGGTACTGTGTTGTGCTCCCAGATGTGATTTCCCCCCTTTCTCATGTTTAATAAGTTACTTGGACATAATAACTGTAGGCATTCACTGTATCACATAGTGTGTATTGTGTTTCCGTTTTAAAAAACCCTAACGCTTCAGTAACGTCTTCACGTTGGGATTGAAAGTCACAGTGGCTGCCCCGAATGTGACCAAATCCTGTGTCTTTCCACAGCTGCATTGTGACTTGTGGCAGTGATGGAGATGTTAGGATTTGGGAAAACCTGGATGATGACGATCCGAAGTCCATTAATGTGGGAGAAAAGGCCTATTCGTGTGCTCTGAAGGTATCGTCGTTAACAGAACCCCTCTAAGCTGTGTCGTGCTGGTGTTGACACGTGACTGTACAGGTGCTGGATTTTCAGGCCCAGGGATGCTGCTCACGTGGGTAACATTAAACGTGTACTGGGATAATACACAGAAAAAGGCAAGAACAATACTGTATGTAGCACATTTAGGTCTGACATATGTTAAATATGTAGATCTTTGTCTGACGTGTGTTAAATACGTAGGTCTTTGTCTTCAGATTAATGTATGGAGAAAATAAGTTGAATGCTGTTTAATGAGGGTAGGTATTTAAATCTGAGCATATGAACGTATTCTGCCTATGTGTCTAAGTGAAAATATGAAAGCAGTATTGAGAACGTAATTTTCTGAAATACGCAGAAATTTAATTGATGATATGTGCCTATAGACTTCTTGAGTATTTTGACTAACTTAAGTATTTTCTATAAATCTACTTCTGACAATTCATTTTACCCCATACAGGATTGCAGAGGAATTAGTCCATATACTAAACTTCTGTAATGTTTTCCCTCCTCTTCCTTCACATTCGGTTACACTCATTTCTGACTTTGATCTCCTTTCTGAGAAACAAATCCAGCAGATTAAGCTAATTATGCAATGAACTTTCAGGCTGTTTCAGTGTTTTCTTACAGTGTGAGTTGCAATAAGTTTCCCAGCCTAAGATGTGATCATCAAGCATTAGGAAAAAGAGCTGAGAGGTTGTTTTGTGTGGGACTGTTTTCAGGTCCAAGGAATTACAATCCATATTAATCAGAAATTATTTTCACAAAGTCAGTGTCCGATCATGCTTGTTTATAATTGGTTGCTATTTTGCTCTCAAAATTGTTGCTTAGCCCAAAGATGCCTCTTGACCCACCGTCCCTAAAGTCAGAAGGGAATAGGATTCTTGCTTGCAGAGGCTGTAACAATTTGTGAGTGCACTGATTACAAGCAGGTCTGTAGTCTGAGTGACGGGCGTTTGAAGCATAACCTGCTCTGTTTGTTTTAATGTTAAGGCAATTCCTTTTACTATATCTTGCAAGAGTCATTATTTGTAAATAACAAGGCAAAGAAGTTACCTATATGAATTTGTAGAATAGAAAATAATTCTTTTTGCTATGCTTTCCCATGTATTTAGCTTGAGAATTCTCACAGTATTTCCTGTGCGTGCAATTATTGTTACATTACATTAGTAATAGAAGGTCTGAGATGTTGTCTTTGTGGCAACTGTAGAAGAAGAGAGGAATTCCAGAAGTCTACATCAGTTCTTGAGATATTGTGTCATTAATTTTGCAGTGATAAAGGAAAATTTTTTAAATTGTTTCCAAGTATTTGTGATTGTGGAGAGGAGCATGAAAGAGGAAATGAGTGAGAAGTAACAGATAAATACTGTATTTTAAAAATAATAATTTGAAACCTTATTCAGAACTACTGCCTTAAGTGAAACCTCTTTCTTGTATCTATTTTAACATACTTTCTGTATCTTTTCCTCAATACCTGTATAATCTGTTTTCATCACTGATTCTGTGAGGTATTTTGCTGTTGCTTTTCATCGCATTACTTATCTTCGCAAACCAAGGGAGATGACTTGAATGAGTTCTCTTAGCAAAAGTGGCAGAGCCAGAAATTGCTAAAACTATTAATGGAGGAGGGAAAATCCTGCTTTTAATTTTTGACACCAGTAGGGAAAATCCTGTGTTCTTAAGTTTATTGTAAAGTGCTCTTAGTTTTGAGGGATTTTTTTTACTTTTAAACAGTGAGATTAAGAACACTTTGTGAGACTTAACTTCAGGAAATCTTATTTCAAAAATTATTCTTCATTAAAGAAAATGTCATGAGGCACTGATCTGAGATTTTGATGTAATCTAGGTAATAAATTGAATCTTTGATTTAGTTTGGGAGTTTAGTACTGGCTACTGCTTTGTTTATTGTCAGGATTTTTACTATAACTTCAGGCAAGTTATAAAAAAAAAAAAAAAAAAGCAGCACCCCAGCCCCCAGGCCCCAAAAAAAACCCCTCAAGGAAATAAGGCTTTTCTTTATTTAATTATTTCAAAAACTTACTGCAACGTACAACTGAGGAATAGTATTGTCAGTTGAAGACGAGCTATTACTTTTCCAAGTGTAGGGTAATCACTTCTGTTGTTTTGCACTTCTTTTAATCTGGATTAATTTTTAGTAAGCATCTGCCTTCTGTTTCCTGAGAAGAGCTAAGCTATAGTTCCTGAACTCCTCATCTTGCCCTGGTGACATTTCCCTGAGCGGCTCGGTCCGAGGGTGCCCTCTCCTGATCCTGCAGCGTGTTCATCTGAATAGGATGCGAGATTATTCCTGTTCGAAGAGCTTTCTTGCCTGCGTGAAAGCAGTGAATGTTCCAGCCACCGGAAGAGGACTGGAAAGTTGTCTTTGAAATTCATTAGTGACTCTGAGTATTCATTATTTTTCTAAAGATACAAGTTGGGAAGGTATTGCAGTTGGTATTGGAAGGTATTGGGAAGGTGTGCAGTGAATTGCCATAATGAATTTTAAGTCTACTGAATCAGCTGGAGTTTCAGTATTAGATCTAGCAGTGTGTTTCTACAGGACTGAAAGTAAGAGAAGAATTTTTCTAGTTTTTAACAGTTTGGTTAAAGTTATAAAGTATTAAAGTTACTGTGCTTGTCTGTAATTTTTTGGGGAAGAAATAAAAGTTAAAGAATATTTCCCCTACTACTCACTCTTCCTCAGACTCTGTTGGAACTGCTAAAGTTAGTCCACCCAAATACTGGGAACATCAGAGTAGTTTTTTTGGCTCCATGGGCATAAATGTGTTTTAACTAACAAATTTTATGATGGGTTTTGTTTTTAGAATGGAAGACTGATCACAGCAGTATCAAACAACACTGTGCAGATACACACATTTCCTGAAGGAGCTCCAGATGGCATCCTTACTCGTTTCACCATGAATGCAAACCACGTCATCTTTAATAGCAATGGTACCAAAATTGCTGCTGGATCTAGGTAATCTGTGCATGATAAGGAAAAGCGTTCAAAATCTGGCCACTTCCTCACATGCTGATTTTTACCAGTGAGGTGGTGGATCCACATACCTCTGAGGTTTTTAAAGTACTGCAGAATGCCTTTCGGGGGCGGAGGGGAAGAAAGGAATGCAAAGGACTTTAAGAAACAATGCTCTGAGAGATACTTGATCCGCCAAATAATTTTTAAATAGAAATCTGCTGTTGGGAAATAATTCCTTTTCTTTAGGAGACTTGGGCGTTTTCAGATTTCAGTGCTGCAACGCAGAAGCCGAAGTGTTCACCCGTATGGATCTCATTGCAGCATTGAGGATTTTTGTTACTGTGTGCTAAAGATAATGTCCTGACTGTTCAGGCTCGCAGCACTGCAGTTGCATATATACGTGAAAAGTTAGGTGGGCTCTGATTTGCCTGAGAGCTTTGACTCATTCTCTGGCGTAAGCATCATCACCATTCTGCTAAACGATCACGGATGACAGTTGTGAGACTCGCTTGAGGGGAATTAAATGCGTGGTTTAGTTAATTTCTCAGGACAGTATGTTGGCTTGTACGTAATATGCGCTAGTCCTTTAACAAAGATGGCAAAATAGCAAGCAGGCAGTATTTTTTTTTATTTATTTACTTGTCTAAGGCTCAGGTGATTCTTCATTGGATTTGGTGAGCACTCTGGGCAGCTGTAGCTAACTTGGGCTGTCTGCTTGCCTCTCTACTGGGATCTGGCCTCCGCAGTAGAGGTGGCAGAGCATTGCATCTGCTCCCCGGCTCCTCAAAGTGTGAATTGAACTGGAAAGCAATTTGGATGAATATGCTGGGCTGTGAGCTCTGGCAGCTGCAGAGCAGACGCACCAGCTCCAGCAGAACTGGGAGTCTGGACAGCTGGGGGCAGTCACCGCTCCAGTCCCTGCATCTGACAGGGATCATGGGTTTGGGCCCTTTGCCAGCGCTTGTTTCTGAGGGAACAGCTCTGCCCCAGGATCTGACTTTGATTAGAGAGATTAGGCAGACAGCAAACTCTTTTCTGCTTCTAAAACTTTTACAAAAATCCCCAGTATTTCTGCAGCCTGACCAGGGCCCTCACGTTAGGAAAAAGAGCTTGTGAGACTGTGAGGCCACCCCTTGGTGAGGTGTTCTGTAACATACTCAAGGAGAGAGATGGGGACAACCATGAAATGAAGGAACGCAGTGAAGAACAACTGCATTTAGTTGTCCCAGATTTCTCCATTTTTTTTACACGAAGTCTGCAAACTTCTGTTTATATATGAGTTTAACATCCAGCTGGCTGCCAAAGTTCACATGAACTGTTTGAAAAGTAGCTGTGTGGCTCCTTAAATAAACAAAACAAACCCCTATTGCCTGTTTTTTTAAATTTTTCTTTAAAGTTGTCTTACATTGTTGAAGAGTGCTAACATAATTTTAATTGTCTTGCAATATAGCTTACAGACTTCCTTTTGTGACTGTTTGGTTAGCATTAAACAGTTGACAAAATTGAGGCTGTGTTTCTGAACGCAGTTAAAGTAGTGGTTAACCCTGTAGAATTCGGTCCTAAAATTAAATTTCTCTCTGAATTTGTTGCAATGAAGCATGAGAGGGAGTGGTACTGAAAGATTGTCATAGCAGCTCTTTGGCTTAGAAGTTAGCATTGATATTTTGAGTTAAACTGTGGTAAGGTCAGTAATTTTGGAGGAGGGAATACTGAATAAAATCAGTTAATGTATCTGATACACTAAATGGTCTTAAAAATCCGGTTAAAAACTTCACAAAATAAACTATGTGAACTATTTGCTCTTTTTTCTTTTTTATTAAACCAGCTGATGGAATAATTATGGTAATGAATATTGGTCTTGTTTAACAGGTAGTTCTTGTTAAGTTAGATTTCTGGTATCTAAACACAGGCATTCATTGGGTCATACAGAATATTACATTAAGCAGATAGATGGTCTGTGTGTACATAATATCCTCTTTAAAGAGCAACCATATTTTATGAACTTTGATACGAACAAAAATTACTTTCTGATAAAGGCAGTCTGGCCTTGGTCCTGTTGTAGAAGCCTCATTTTCCCTTAGATCAAGCAGTGTTGAGAGCTGTAACTTCACCAAAAGATGTGCCCAATTCAATTTTTATTGCCGTAAACAAATAGTCTGTTGTTGCTAATACCAATATTAATACTTCTGTGTCTTTGTGGTCTACAGTGACTTTATGGTCAAGGTTGTGGAGGTGACTGATAGCAGCAAGCAGAAAACATTCCGAGGACACAGTGCTCCCGTTTTAAGCCTGTCTTTTGACCCTAGGGATGTTTACCTGGTAAAAACACTTTCTTGTTTACTTTCTGCTTTGAATCTCCTTTTCACTGGGAAAAAAATAAATATATGCTTTTTACAAAAAAAAAAAAAAGCAGTGACTGAGCACATGAAATTACTTTATTTCAGCTGACCTTACAGCTAATGGAATGTGTGACAACTTGTTGCCTCCCAGGAGAGTTCAGTCTTTGCTTTACTACTCAATTACTGTCTGTGTTCTGCTGGAATCTAATGCTGATCTGATTTTAGAGAGGAAAAGATGGCTCACTAAAGAGATTTAGAATTAATTTTGAGCTTCTTTTGTGAACAGGCAGCTCACTTGAAGTATGAGGGTTTTGTAATTACAGTAGTTTGGAGTGGAGTACAGTTATCAAGATGACAGTATTAGAAAGCTTTAAGTCTTAAAATGGCTTAAACTGGGAGGCGTTCTTTTTAAAACTACTTATGTATTGTATGTCTGTAGCATTGGATATAGGGATTTTTTTCAATTTTGTAGCATTAATTTCTCTGTCTTTAATTCTTCATTCATTTACAAAAATCTCTTACATAGGCATCGGCGAGCTGTGATGGTTCTGTCAGAGTATGGAAAATCGCAGATCAGGTAAGAGGCCGGCCTTGCAAAGTTCAGTGTTCCGTAAGAGATCAGGGATTTCACAGACAGCAAGAAACACTGGACTGAAAGAACTACTGGGATAAATGCTTCTTGTCTTACCATATATCATCAGTAGCTGCTGCTAGTATTTACAAAAATGTTTATATCTGTAATTCTTGTGCTGGTAAAGGGGTGGCTGTGCACTGGAGCACCTGAAAGAATAGGTGGTGAATTCATTTTTTGGGGGGAAGAGCTCTAATTACGCTCTATAGAATGCTTTTGTCTACTTCTGGGAGAAATTCCAAAGCCTGATTATGAAATGTTGCCTGGGGAGCTGTGGATTGTTCTTCCTGCCTGTGGAATCCCGAATTTCTTCCATTCATCTTTCTTTGTTGGCCAACATTGTGTATTTGGTTCTCAGCGCTTTCAGAAATGACACTTCTGTGTAAAGATCGCAGTTGATATCAAATGCTTTATTTCAGAATTTCAGCTCGTTGCTTTCAGGGTTAAGGAAATATTTTTATTCTAATAAACAACCATCTAGGTATATTTTGGGTTTATTTATTTTTACTCAGCTTCCTAAGAAATAATGAGTAATTTTCAGGGTTGTAACTGACTGGTGAAAGTGGAATAATGCTCTGAGATGCTGAGTATCTTCCTTTATAAGTGATCTGGTTGGTTAGTCTTCATCATAGGAATGCTATTACTTTGACCTAAGATTAGGAGGAGGTACGGATTTCACGTGCCACAAGCACTGAGATGATGCCCGTGATGGTAACATTTTTCTCTGAGCGGGAACTTTGGACACAGGGTTGCTTCAGTCTCTCCTGGCTGTGGCACACAGACTTTGTTTTCTAAGGATTCGAGATTCAGCTCAGTGCATTTCGACTGTTTAGATTAGAATGATGTGAAGGCTATTGACAAGGGGCTGGCTATTCCAATTTTTTTCTGTGTTTTTGTTACAAACTTCACAACAATTTCTCAGAAGAAGGACATAAATCACAGTTTGAAGAACATAATTTATTAGAAATACAGTCTTTGGGCTCAGCCTGGCAATATTTGGCTGAAAAAGTTCAGGGCATGTAAGCAGTCCAATTTAGTGAGAGAGTCATATTTAATCTCTGAAGAGAGAGTTTTGGGTGAACGCTTTAATAAGGCATTTCTGCATAGGTGTGTGGGATTATTTTTGCTAAATGACATTGACTGGAATAAGAATCTGGAATTATTATTATGACATTGACTGGAATCATTCCTGTAAGTACAGTTGAAAATGTGTGCGCGCAACTTGTGGATTGCTACTTTTTAGAGCAAAAACATACTTCTAGTGTGAAATCTCGTGTTCAGTGGGTGCCTTTTGGGACAATTACACTAGCAGTGTCTTAGGATTGTGGCAGTATGATGTATGTATCTGTGCTGTAATTTGAGAATATAGCCATTCATTTTTTTTATACTGCTGTGGCGAGACTGATGCTGATGTATTGTCACCTTGCTGCAGTTGATGTGGGGTTGACAAATGTGTTTTGGCCAGATTTCTCTGTAACCTAAAAATACATGAGCTCATTTGTTCTGTACTTGATTAAAAACACTTATTCTGTGACCTTATTTCTGTTACAAGTAGTTGTATTGTCATTAAAATAGTTTCAGGTCTATATTTGCAAGATATTTTTTTCTTTTTTTTTTTTTTTTTTAAGGCAGTATGTACCACTTTATTTGGATGAAAGAGTTTCAAAAACGGTATAGCTTTTTTCTTTTTAGTTTCTTCCACACTTTTCCTTCAAGAATTTGTGCTATACAGTAGATTTTCACAGAGCTAGAAAACTAATTTTCTAATACTTTGTTTTCAGACATGCACGACAAGCTGGCCGCTGCTGCAGAAATGTAATGACGTGATAAATGCTAAATCAATATGCAGGCTTGGCTGGCAACCTGGCAGTGGGAAGGTAAGTGACGTTGTTTAGCCACATCTTATTTCTTCTTTTCTCTTTGAGAGTCCAACAGTAGAATTCAATCTGGGCAAGCCCAAATGGCAGCTCCTGGGACTAAGGAAAGTATTTGGGGTGAAGTTCACTTTTAGGAAAAATAAAAGCCTGGAAATGGTTACTTGTTTAAGCTCCCAACTGTGTTTGGCAGTGGTCTAGCTGTCAGCCCAAAACAATGTTGAACAGTCATGTTGCGCTGAATAGGAAGGAACATTGCACACGAGGGAAATAATCAAATTGCCCGTAACAGAGCATCAAAGGAGTTCAGCTTTTCTCTACTTTAAGTAAATTTTGCCCTAACA